CTGGCTGGAGAGAACGCTGTGGAAGGTGGGGCTAGTCCTTTACCCACTGCCCAGACTGGGCTTCCATGCCCTTCAGCTGCTAGGTTAGAAAGGGAAAGATGAACTAGTAAAAGAGGTAAAGTGACTGAAAAAAAGAAGAGAGCTGAGTGGAGAGATAGTTGGAGACAGACAGGAAGCCTCAGAAAAGAATTTTTAAGTAGATGCTCTTATGAACCCCCAAAGGGAAGATATTATTTTGTGTATATGTTTAAAGCAATCTATAAAAACTGTGGATTTTTTGTCTTTGTTTCCCCCCACGTACCTCCCAGCAAAAGATTTATAATTCTCTATACAAAGCTAGGTAGACACTTAAGAGTAAATATGGGGTAGTTTTCATAATTAATACAATTGTTATATTTACCCTCTTGTAATAGGTAGGTGGCTTCAGTTTGATTTTGTTTAGTTTTTTTTTGTTGTTGTTGTTTTTCTTTTTTGTCAGGGGGCTGATTAGAAGTCTGGAAAGTTCAAAATTTGTTTCTCTGCTGAGTTATAGTAACTGGTGGAGTTCTAGAAGAAATCCGTCTATGGACCTATACATGCTAATTATGCCATTAGGAAGGTGGTGAATACATTGTAAGAGTTAGTGACTTACTTAGAGAATAAACAGTACTTCTATTTGAGATATAGGTGGCTAGAATGTGGGTCAGCTCAGAAACCAGGAATCTTGTAAAAACTCGTTTGGATTCTGACGAACCTCTAAGGAAAAGAGGAGCATACAGTTGGCGTTCTGTGATGTAGTGTAGTACAGTACCACTTAGTTTAGTACAGACCTAGTTTTCTCCCTATTTGAGTAGAGTCACTTCACTGTCCTGTTTTTAGCATGTTAGTAGTACCCAGAGAAGATGTGGGGCTCTCAGTCCTGCTTCTGACTAGGGGTGGGCGTCATGTACAGAATTATGTGGCTGCTATGGCTCCTAGCTCACATGTTAGGGGAGAGGCAGCTCTAAGCAGCCTGCTTCTATAGTACAGACACATTCGAGACTAATATAGAAATAGGATATAGATAGCCATTTTAATCTGTATTTGGATTTTGTTTGTTTTTCTTCCATCCTGACATTAGAGAAAGCTGTTGCATAGGAATGGACATTTCTCTCCCAAATATGGATATGTGAAACAGTAGATGGAAGATGAACTTGGCCTGTCAGTTACCACATTGTTTTCTTTTTTCATTTTTTTTTTGGGGGGGGGTCCGGTCATGGGGCCTGAACTCTGGGCCTGGGCGCTGTCCCTCAGCTCTTCAGCTCAAGGCTAGCGCTCTACCACTTGAGCCACAGCGCCACTTCTGACTTTTTTTCTTTTTGCTTATGTGGTGCTGAGGAATCAAATCCAGGGCCTCAGGCATGCAAGGCAAACGCTCTACCACTGAGCCACCTTCCCAGCCCTACATTAAGTTTTCTTTACTCTCAGTTTTGTTATACGAACAGTAAAGCGGACAGCATTTCACTGGCTTTGGAGCCAGAGATGTGTGGTCTGGCAAGGAAGCTTGAGTTGTACCATTCTATGTCCCTAGGAAAGTTCCTCCTCTGTGATTTTTATCAGGAAATAGGGACAGTTGAACTCCCTGTATTGCTAGGGCAGAAATAAAGATCAGATCAGATAACATATGCAGGATATTTGCCATTATGACCACAAGTAGTAAATACCAAGTAAATTGTTTCTATGATGGTCATTTTTCAAATGCATATAATCACATTTAGAGGAACACAGGTTTAAACAGCTGCATAAAGCATTTATGGATTAGAAGTGAAAAGAAGGGAGTAAAATCACCATGTTATCCAAGAGCTTGAAATTTTAAATAATCTTTATCATATTAAAATTAATTACATTTTTGAAGTTCCAGAAAATAAGAGGAACATATGTGCCTAATTGTTGTAATCATATAGCAAGAACTTTCTGGATACCCTTTCTTTGGGTTAGGTGATGAAAAAAATAAAAAAGGAAGAATGATTGCTTTTTCACACTACAAACAGAATTTTACTAGTTTTGTGGATGGAGATTATGTTTGAACCCAGAGGTTTATTTTTACTTATTTCAGTCTATTTTTGCTGAGTTTATTTTTACTTATTTGTCACCTAAGAGACCAGTTAGCTCCTTTTTCTTAAGTTCTGAAACCTTGTTTCATACTTTGACAAACATGTTTTTGTGAGGGTTCAGTGAGACAATTAAAAGACTCTTGACTAGCCATAAATATTTATCTTCTGACAGTTTATTCATTTATAATTATTCATTTAAATTTGTAACATTCAGTATACATGGGTTCTTCTGATATTAAACTTAAGCAAAACGTCAAATTTAAATAGAGGTCATACATTTAACATGTTGGCTATATTAATAACAGTGTATCTTGAAAAATGCTAAGAGGTGGGTATTAAGTGTTCTCACCATGGAAAAGGATAAGCGTGAGATAATGCGTGTAACGATTAGCTTGCTCTAGCCTTCCACAGCGTGTACATATTTCAAAACATGTTGTACACAGTAACTATGTAATTCTCATTTGAAAATTTAAATAAGTAGATTTTTTAGTTGAGGTCAGTACTATTTTAATGCTGAACATAGATGAAATTGGTATTTTGTTTTCTTCTAGCATTTGCATTGATCAGGAAAAGTGATTCTAGAGTTGGGATTTCTAAAGTCCAACATAGACCATGGTGTTGAACACAAAAGTATCATTAGTTCAGTATGAGAAAAGAGCTATATGTGAGTCAAAGGGTAAGATTATACTAGTAAATAAAATAATGCCCCTTTTGTCTGGGAAAAGTTGGTATTTCTGCACCTAATCATTTAGAGAGAAATTAACACTGAGATTAAGTACGATTTTGGTAGGCTTCAATGACCGGACTAGAATGAGACACTTTTCCTGATGGTATAACCCTATCTCGTACTAATCAGCTCTGTAGATAACATGCTCTAGCTTGGATCTCAATAGAAGACTTTGTACACAGTGACATTATGCATTTCATTTATTTGTTGAATAGTCACTTTGTATAAAGTGCAAGAGATACTAGTGTTTGAGAAGGTTATGTGCCCTTTTCAGTTTATAGAATAGCTGATAAGAATTCATATTCTTACAATATACTGACCAGTTGTCTTGCCATTTGTGTAATGTGATTAAGAAAAACATAAAAATTTCTGAACACAGGAGACCTAGCAATTCTTTACCTGGACTTTAAAACTTTATAATTTGTTAAACAGGAGAGTAATAAAAAACTAAGATGTAGCCGGGCACCGGTGGCTCACGCCTGTAATCTTAGCTACTCGGGAGGCTGAGATCTGAGGATCTAAGTTCAAAGCCAGCCCAGGCAGGAAAGTCCGTGAGACTCTTAAATAAACCACTAGAAAACCGGAAGTGGCGCTGTGGCTCAAGAGGTAGAGCGCTCGCCTTGAGCTGAAGAGCTGAGAGATAGCACCCAAGCCCAGAGTTCAAGCCCCACGACTGACCAAAAAAACAAACAAAACCTAAGATGTCTAGAACGTATTGCTCCCATCTTTTTCTTTAATGACCCTGCTTGGGGAATAGGCAGCACTAGTCTGGAGTCTCAGCCATGGCTCTGGTTTCATCTTTTATTTCCCTTAAATGATCTCTTAGTGCCCAGTTCTTCGAATTGTATTGTACTTCAGAACTGCGTACTTGTCACCCAATTCAAAAACTAAAAAAATACTTCCAGGGGCTAGGAAGGTGACTCAGTGGTAGAGCGCTTGCCTTGCATGCCTGAGGCCCTGAGTTCGATTCCTCAGCACCACATAAGCAAAAAGAAAAAAGCCGGAAGTGGCACTACAGCTCAAGTGGTAGAGCGCTCGCCTTGAGCTGAAGAGCTGAGGGACAGCGCCCAGGCCCAGAGTTCAGGCCCCACGACCAGACCCCCCCCAAAAAAAAAACCACCAAAAACTTCCATAGTACACACTTATTTTTTAGTCATGATATATGTATTAGTTCATTTTTATCAGCCCTGGGCTGATAAAATATTGTTAGCTCCATTGTATAGAAAGGAAACTAAGGCATAGTTTCTAGGAACATTTGGCTGGAAATCATCTTATAAATATGTTAGAAACAATTGCATGAAAGCAAAAACATTTGAATACTTATCTTGGGGTTCATTTCACCTAACATCAACTTATCTGACCTTTTCTGCTTGTCTCAGACATATACTAGTTATTGCAAATAAGGGAAACCATGGGACCTATGTTTCTTTGGGCCTGGCTTACTTCACTTAATATAATTTTTTCCAAGGTTTTCCATTTCCTAACAAATGGGGCAATGTCATTCTTCCTGATGGAGGCATAGAATTCCTTTGAGTATATATACCACATTTTCTTGATCCATTCATCTACTGAGGGGCATCTGGGTTGGTTCCATATCTTAGCTATGGTAAATAATGCTGCAATAAATATAGTTGTGCTGGTAGCTTTAGTATGGTTTTGTTTGTGATCATTTGGGTAAATGCCCAAAAGTGGGATTGCTGGGTCATAGGGGAGCTCTATGTGGAGTCTTTTGAGGAACCTCCATATTTATAAGATGATTTCTTTGTTGCTTTGTATGTCCCTCCCCCATGTGTAACCCCTGCTTTGACTGTATTTGATGTTGGTATAATTTGTGGAGGGGAAGGGAAAAAGCAAACCGTTTAAATAGAGATACAGGTGGACCCATTGCAACAATGAGATGTACAAATCGTTATGTTGAAAAACGAACTTTACAACTTTGGGGGGGTAGGGGACAGGGGTAGGGGGGAGATTGGAAGGGATGGGAAGGAGAAACAAAGGAGGAGGCAACAATGCTTGATAAGAAATGTACTCATTATCTTGCCCATGTAATTGTAAGCCTTCTGTATGGTATTTCCACAATTAAAAAAAAAAAAAGAACATTTGGCTGGTAAGAGACAAGTGACTTTTGAGTTGCCATTTTCTCAATGTGGCATTTTCTTGTTACTGACATGCTACCTTATGTTTTCCTTTTTTCTTTCTAGGTGTTATAGAGACTTCAGATCGACTGGACCGGGAGTCAACCTCCCATTACTGGCTGACAGTGTATGCAACAGATCAGGGTGTTGTGCCACTTTCTTCCTTCATAGAGATCTACATAGAGGTTGAAGACGTCAATGACAATGCACCACAGACTTCAGAGCCCGTTTACTACCCAGAGATAGTGGAAAATGCACCCAAAGATGTATCTGTGGTCCAAATTGAGGCATTTGATCCAGATTCTAGCTCTAATGACAAACTAATGTACAAAATTACGAGCGGAAACCCACAAGGATTCTTTTCAATACATCCTAAAACAGGTACGTGATAATACTAGCATATGAAGTATTTATGGTTACACTGTCCTGATGGGGAAAATAAGAATTAATATTTACCTATTATATAATTTTCTTTGATTTTGTTAAATTTTTAAATATTTATTTTCAATCAAAATGTTTTCCGTTTGAGTTTGTTTTCATTAAGGTGTTTTATGATTTTTCTCATTAGTGAAATTTCACTTTTTGAAGCAAATATTGTTACTTTAATAGCTGCTCCTATATGATATGCTTTAAACTTATAGCAAATTCTGCTACTGAGAACTTACATTTTTGTAACTTTATTTTACATAAATATTAAGTTTATCTTGCAATTCACTATTTTTAAAATGGTAATACTTAGAAGCATTACTTAATGGTAATACTTAAGAGTTTTCCCTAGGCCAGGCTAGGGAATTTTATAGGTTAGGCTATAAATTTATAGTCAGACAAAGGTCAAGTTTAAGCATCCAGATTGGGAATCTTAAACTGATAAACTAAATTTTTGTTTTTCATGTTTTTATTTTCCTCTCTGTCCAGCATCCTCCTTCTAAGGTATGGCTCATGACCCCACCAAATCTTCTTCTGAAACTCTTTATAAACTTCTAATTTTCATTCTTTTATATTTTCCTTTAATTCCTAGGACTCTTGTACTATTTCACACAAAAGATCTTCAGCTGAGTTTATTATCATTAAAATAAACAGTAAGATCTTAGCTGTCATTTATACAATGAAAACTTCTCATGGGGAGGATAGGAACTTGGATTAATTTATTAATCAGTTAAAATAACAACTTTCCTTTGACATTAAGAGGACAGTTTATTTGTAGGAAGATAAAACTGCTAATCGAATTGACTGGCCTTAAACAATAACATTGTGCAATTGTGCAGTTACTCAATACCTGCCGGTAGGATCTAGTTAACAAGATTCTGAAGATTTAGTTAGTAATTTATATACTTCTTTCTTGCTTGTGCTTATTATATCTGCTTATTCTAAGGTAATTGGCCTTTTCATTTACTTAGCTGTATATTTGGTATGTCAGGAAAGTAATATATAAAAGAAAACAAAAATTGGGGCTGGGAAGGTGGCTCAGTGGTAGAGCGCTTGCCTGGCATGCCTGAGGCTCTAGGTTCGATTCCTCAGCACCACATAAGCAAAAAGAAAAAAGAAAAAAGCCGGAAGTGGCACTCTGGCTCAAGTGGTAGAGCGCTAGCCTTGAGCTAAAGAGCTGAGGGACAGTGCCCAGGCCCAGAGTTCAGGCCCTACGACTGGACCAAAATAAATAAATTAAATAAATAAAAATCATGGAACTACTCTGCTTTTAAACCAATCTGTCATTACCTTTTTTGAGTTTTTGGGTTTTGGAGCTGGGGATTGTACGCATGACCTCTTGCTTGCCAGGCAGGTGCTGTACCTCTTGAATCATGCCTCTAAGAAGCTCCCTTTTTGTATTGGTTGTATTGCCTCCTGCTTATGTTTTCCTATGTGCCTGGGATTGACGGGCCCATGGCTGTACCTAGCTAGTGTTCTTCCCTCATAGCTAGGATAATGGGTTCTTTCTTCCCTCTCATGTGAGCCATTGGTTAGGATGGAGTGACTTTGAGCCATGATCTCCCAATCTCTGCTTTCCTTCCTCCAAGCTAGTATTACCTGCTCAAGGCACCTTGCCTAGTGCTTTTTTAGTGCCTGTTTTATATTTCCCAATTTCTTTTATTAAACTTGAAAGGAAACTATTCTTAAAGTGGAAAGAAGTGTTGGGTTTAAGATCCTGTAGAAATTGCCCAAGAAAGATACCTCATAGAGATCATGGAAGTATGTAGATTTATCTCTTAAAGACATCCCTTTAAGGGCTGGGGATGTGACTATTGGTAGAGCACTTGGAGCATTTGTGAGGTCCAAGACTCTGTTCCCAGCTCTGGGAATAGGGGGAAAAGGTTTTAAGATGTTAGTTTGTAAAGCTCTTGTCAGTGTATTTTAGCCTGACATTTATATAGACATTTGATCAAAATTTATTTTTAAATATCCTTGCATTTATCGTATCTTCCACTGAGGGGTTTGGATTTTTAAGAACACTGATAACTGTTGGAGATTGACTCAGCTTCATAAGAGAATTGGATTACACAGGAGAGAACTTAGCAGTTTTGAGAGTTTTTCTTTCTGAAGCATTAGGGGTATAATAGAGGACTTGAAGCTCAGAACAAAGGGCAGGAATCAAGACACGAACCTGCTTACCCTGTAACAGCATCTAAATGATTAATAAAAGCCTTATTTTAGCAGTGTTTCCTACATTGTTTTACTGCACAGATGGTAATTAAGTTCTACCACATTTTTCTGTGAAATAAAGTGAAAGACAGCCAAGAGCCAAAATAATTAGAAGGCATTGTCAGATATAAAAGATGAAATTCAGGAGACTGTAAGAAGTTTGGAAGAGGATTTGGGGCGTGCAGATAGTACACTTGGAGAGACAGAAACCTAGAAATAAAAGCCTTGAGGAAGTAATTCAGGAATGTGTAACTAATTCTATTTTAAAGCTGTTTGATGAATTAGGCTTAAAAATGTCTTCTTATGTCTTCAGCCTTTCTTTTACATTAGGTTAAGGCACGTGTGAAACAGACAGGCAAGCAGGCAGTGTCTTTTTGTCTCTGAGTAGATACTGTAGGTCTGGGTATAATTGATGGGAGGAGAAAGCATCTTAGAGAAATCTTGAATAGCACTCTGAAATGATGAAATTATGAGATCACCACTGTGAGGTTATGTTCTATAGAATATGAGCTGATAGGACATCACCTACCCCTTTTTAATCTTTCCTTATCTTCTGTAAGAGTAAATCCTCTGTAGGAGTTCACAGATAGCTCTAACCCCCTGGGAGAGGAGATATGCTTTCTGCTGGCAAGCAGGACAGCAGGAGAAAATTAATCAGTCCACAGAGGTTTTGTGCTTTTTTTTTTTTTAACTTGAAAGCAGGTAAGAGTGGAAGGTTAATGTAGTCCACCGGAATATTGGTTGTGAGTGTATTCTAACTATGTTTAGTAAGAATATTCCACAGACATCTAGTTTCTACAGGTCAAAGAGAACCATATTTTAGCATAGCCATATTTTAGCGAATTCAGCCTCACAAGATCTGTGTCTAGGTGATTCTATTCCCTTGACACAACAGAACATTTAAGCTTGATGCTCAAGGTCCCCACATAAATGTCCATCTTCCTCAAAACCTTAAATACAGCTTATAATAGGTAGGTTAGTAACGTGGGGGTTAGATGGTGGAAGCTTATGAAAGATAGTCTGGTAGAACGAGGTTCTTGTGATTTACTGACCCACACCACCACCTGGAAACTTCCAATCATGTTATTTAATAATTAGTGAAAATCAGCCGGGCGCTGGTGGCTCACGCCTGTAATCCTAGCTACTCAGGAGGCTGAGATCTGAGGATCGAGGTTCAAAGCCAGCCCGGGCAGGAGAGACCGTGAGACTCCTATCTCCAATAAACCACCAGAAAACAGGAAGTGGCGCTGTAGCTCAAGTGGTAGAGCGCTCGGCCTTGAGCTGAAGAGCTGAGGGACAGTGTGGCCAGGCCCAGAGTTCAAGCCCCACGGCCGACCAAAAAAAAAAAAAAAAATTAGTGAAAATCAGTTGGTTAGAAATGAAGACATATGGGTTGTGGCATTCATTCCTCTGGATCTCCAAGGAAACAGACTTCTAAATCTTTATCCCTTGTTATTAGTGATGATAGTTTTATATTTCTCCTAAAGCTTGTGTATGTGAACTACCTATACTTGTTTCTGGCAAAGGTACATCTCTTTCTTTTGAATATATTATACTTGTCATAGATAGATAGATATAGATTAGATACCTACATACATATATATACACACACAAAAATCAAGATTTTAGTAGATTGATCATTTTGTGCATTTCCTTTGAAGAAACAAATTTCATGGAATAAAATGGATCCACCTCCTACTTGGTGGTGAAGATAAAAATTGGGATCTTAGTGATTATCATGTATACAGCAGACCAGAAATTCTAAATTAATCGTCACTTAAAGTGTTTGCACACCAGATTTTTACTGATCTATGGGAATCCAGCATCCTGACAGATGCTTGACAGTGTGTAGTCTGATGTGAAGGAGTAAAGGAAACAAGTACAAGGTAGTATGGCCCTGACTGTGAAATGGACACTTTTGGAGAAAGTGTGAAAATACTGACAGTGCGGGAATAATTAGAAAAATGAGGCTCCTTGGAAGAGTTGAAAAAAGCAGATTGATGGAGGGGAGATAGAGGACATCTGCCACTTTAGGGGACAATTTGAAAGAATGTTAAGTATTAGAGACGAAGAAATAAAGTTAGGTAGGTATATGGGAGTATACACTCATAATGTTGGAATAAAGGATCACCTTTATTATTAAATATAAATATATATTACATTCTATATTATATTACTATAAAGGATCACCTTTATTCCAGCATACGAATGTATACCAGAATTATTATTATTATTATTTTTGCCGGTCGTGGGGTCTGAACTCTGGGCCTGGGCGCTGTCCCTCAGCTCTTCAGCTCAAGGCTAGCGCTCTACCACTTGAGACATAGAGCCACTTCTGGCTTTTTTTCTGCTTATGTGGTGCTGAGGAATCGAACCCAGGGCCTCATGTATGCAAGGCAAGAACTCTACCATTGAGCCACCTTCCTAGCCCCCAGAATTATTATTTTTAAGAGCCTTTGCTGACCCTTAGAACATTTTGTATAAAATACAGATGTGACTTCATTCAAAGTTAGTTTAGTAAAGAGGCAGACATCTCCTCAATACCTTCTTTCTCTATGTATGCCAGTACTTGGGCTTGAACTTGGAGTCTAGGCTATGTCCCTTAGCTTTTTTTGTCCAAGGTTGTTAAGTTGTCTCTGCCACTTGAGTTACAGCTTCACTTCCAGCTTTTTGGTGGTTATTTGGAGATTAAAAACTCACAGACTTTTTTTTATAGTGGGTTGTCTTTGAACTACGATACTCAG